GCGCCTCAAGGCATCCATCCCAGATGTCAATGACCAACACCATGTTGAAAAGGTATCCTAGGTTCTTCGCGTTATATTATAGTAAATCTGTCTAACTTTCGCGAAGCTCACAGAATACGGTGTCGCGGCTGCAGCGCAGCTGAGCAAGGAAGATGAACGCAGTGCGCTCCTCGCTCGGAGAGCGCAGGAAGGAGACTATGATGATGGTACTGGTTCTCGCTTGAAACACTCCCCTACAATTGTCGCTATGTTATTTGACTAATTCAATTTCTGTCTAGAGCTCATCCTCGAACAACTTGCTCGAAACCGTGTTTTCCTGTCCGATGAAGGCCTCGCGAAGCTCCGCTCGTCATACATAATCGTTGTCGGATGTGGAGGAGTCGGGTCGCATGCTGTGGCATCCCTTGCCCGCTCGGGTGTTTCCAAGATCCGTCTGATCGATTTTGATCAGGTCACGCTTTCCTCCTTAAACCGACATGCTCTCGCGACGCTGGCCGACGTCGGAACGCCGAAGGTGCATTGTATCCGCAAAAGACTGGAGCAGATCACACCGTGGGTGAAGTTTGACTGCCGGAACGAACTATTCGGGGGATCAGTCGCCGACAGACTTCTTGCGCCTTGGAGTTGGGACGACAACGACAAAGGACACAAGCCTGACTATGTACTTGACTGCATCGATAACATTACGTCCAAGGTGGAGCTGCTTCATTACTGCCACTCGCACTCCATTCCCGTGATTTCGGCAATGGGAGCAGGATGCAAGTCAGACCCTACTCGTGTTACGGTTGGTGATATCTCACTTAGTACGGATGATCCGCTGTCGCGGAGCACTCGTCGACGCCTCAAGTTATTAGGCGTCAATACCGGTATCCCTGTCGTTTTCTCCACTGAAAAGCCCGGTCCTGGTAAAGCCACTCTTCTTCCACTCAACGAGGCAGAATTCAGCAAAGGAGAAGTTGGTGAACTGAGTGTATTGCCCGATTTTCGCGCGCGGATCCTCCCTGTGCTGGGCACAATGCCTGCAGTGTTTGGCTACACTGTGGCGAACCACGTCATTTGCGACATTTCCGGCTACCCGATGGACTACAGCGTGGGTGGAAAGGGTCGGGATAAGTTGTACGATGGTGTCTTGGCAGCCTTGCAGGGAACGCTCGAGCGCTTGGCCCGGGCGGAGCATGGACCTAGCCTTGTCGGGCTTCGCCTTCCCATCAGCAAGGATGACGTCGGATATCTGGTCGATGAGATCTTCCGCGGCAAGAGCGTGGTCAGTGGCCTCCCCAGTCGAGTCAGTCTTGTTCCCTGGGAGCGGCCTGAGAGAGGATTCGGACCTGATCCGGAGTGGATGAAGCAGGGGCAGACCTTTGTTCCGCTTGAGTTGAAGGATTTAGTGTGTATGACTAAGGATGAAGCTGTACGGCATGAAAAAGAAGTGCTTCTGGGTGGTAAGCAGCTGGAGGAGGTATACGATTCCAAGACGATTGAAATGGTGCAGAAGCGCCAACGGGAGATGGAGTTTCACGAGCAATATCGTTAATGACGCGAAGACACCAACGAGTAGTGCTTCTTCAGGGACCAAGATACAGATAGCACTAGCACCTGGCACCAAGAGTCATAGCTACAAGTTGAAAACCTCGAGCCCTGCTTGGCTTTTGACAGTCTGACAGGCGGGTCTTAGCTGATGACCCATGAGTGTGACAAGGTCGAGGGAAGCCGGCTCCTGACATTTTCTTGGCCGCATTGCAGACGTTAAGCCCAGCTACAGATTTTTGTGAAAGCTCCATCTCGCCCAATGAGTGTTTGGTCTTTGAAGATAGCATAATCGGAATAGAGACTACAAGATTGGCTGGGATGTGAGTAATTGGGTACCATATCCAGACATGGCAGTCAAGTATCGAGCAAGGCAGGAGGATGTTCTGGCTGGGAGGACAAGATGGTTTGATATTGGATAAGTGGCAGCTAGAAGATATTGATAACAGCTAGACTGAATATAAATAAAGCCTAGAATACTTCAATTACAAGAAATACAGTATCAATGTACCATTGAAGCATCTGCCCGAATTTTCCGATCCGATTATCTCCTTTGCAGAATATCGTAGAGGTCTGAGATATGCGGTAAAAAATCCCCTATCCTATCTCTCACATAATAGGAACATCCAGGCGTGGAGGAACCATGGGCGATAAAACAGCATAAACAGATATTAAGAATCAATCATTATGACCGCGCGTCCTTAGGTGCTCGAAGTCATAACTTACCTAAACTTTCCTGATAACCCCTGATCATCCGCACCCTCCAGTATCATAAGCTTCCTTTATTCTAGCATGATCAGGTTCTTATAACATATTCTATTTACTAACACCCCTAGATAATACCTGTTCTAAGTCTAGGTATTAAACAGTTAAGTCCTAATAACACTGGCGCCACAACCACTTTTTGACAGAATGTTGATCCAAATCTAAGTAGAAATATATGATTATAACAATTGTACCTATCATAATAAGTCGCGGAAAATAAACCAAATCTTTGAAAAGGTCTTCAAAAGTAGAGCTCGAACGTGAATGCTGAACATAATTTGACTCTGATGGCTTATGGAGAGAGAGAGAATAGGTAGAAAAGAAAAGAGAACTTGTTTTACACGAGAACGTCCAGCGTTCAGAAATCAGTGTTGTGTTCTTCACATCCATCATAAAACGATGTCAAAGGAGGATCGACCTGTTATTGAGCATCCTGGTCTTGTATAGCAGTGCCACATATGCTCTGTTCACGTTAGTATCCTCAGCGAGAAACAAATTGAAGCCAGGTTGGAAGTACCTGTCGCCTAGTCATAAATTCCTTGTACATCCCTAGCCAGATCTCTCGGAGATGGCAGTCATCTCGCTGACCAGTAGCAGGGTTGACCTCGCAAGGAGGCTGGGTTTGCTCGATCACATGTTGAGTAGCGGCAACCCATGGCTAGCGCCAGACTTAGCAGAGTCTCAAGGGGTCTGTAGGATACCAAATCTTTGTTGTTAACGTACCTTGGGAACTGGCCAGTCAGAGAAATGGAGATATTTAGCTGTTCTTAGAACTTTTTCAGCATCCCACGGTTCATATGTATTTCCCAGATAGGCCTCATGGTTCTTGGCGCGGAATTCTCCTGTCAAAAGCATGTAAGGGCGGTGCGGTATAACGAGAGTATCATCTTCGTATAACTTGTTCATAATCTCCATGTCGTATTCTTCAGAAGGATTGTCCCATATCTTTTCCAACACGCGATTGAATTCATCCGTGGATGGTTGAATGAGCATAAGCCCGGATGTGAACACTCGTTCTTCCGGATAAAACCAGTAGGCCAGTGGCATGGCGACTGAAGCTGGAGGGAGTAGGAACAGCTCGTCCATCGTCTGCGTGTGTGTTAGTTGCGATGAGAAACGCCATGACTGGGCTACAAACCTGCAGCAGGGTGGCGTCAGAATCTAAGTTGAGAACTCTGTCATAATCTGTTTGATTAAAAGCGAGGAGCTTCGTATAGCTCGTTGGCCATGGTGCTGCGCTCATAGTTAGTATTTAGTCTTGCAGCGCAAAGAATTGATTTACCTCCTCCTCCTCCCTTCATGATTACTTCGATAGGCCGAAGCTTCACGTTATAATTATCTCTTGCAAAACGTATTAAACGTGCTTCAATTGAACTATCGTTCTCAGACACGAGAAACTTGGCGGGATACATCAGCACAAGATCGGCTTTTGTACCGAGACGGTGAAGGGCCTCGAAGATCATGACTGAATTGCAGAGATAAGACCTGTCTGTGGCATATTGAGTGTATGCAAAACGGGACCAGTCAATATGCTCCCTAGACAGTCCAGCGTGATAAGACTCGGAATTTCGTGTAGCGTCTGGATGTTTAGGAAGTCGTAACAATGTCACAAATCCCAAAAGAGTGGACACAACTAAGAAAAAGGCGCGGAAGACTTTCGGAGTTCTGGTGAACATTTTTCTATAGTAGCTGATGGCAAGACTTGGAGAGCAAGTTACCCAAGAATCTTACTTCAAGTTTTGTGCATCGTTTTTGAAGGCTAAAGAAAGCCAGAGTGTTGTAAGGTCAATTAACGAGATTAACCCCCCATCAGCTTCGAGGCAGCCCCTCGGCTGGTAGACAGCGGCGGGTGGCTGCGAATGGGCGGCTAAGCGCTGCCCATGCATGATCTGAAGCACGCTATAATCCACCGCAGCAACTGATTGGAACGAATGATGGCCCGTGCCCAGCACAGCGCTAACATGCATCGGGTGGAGCCAACTACTAAGGGTTCAGGGTCCTTGCTCATTCCCAGCCTTGTCATCATCTCCAAGCACATTCAGTTGAGAGTCAACACTTACACTTGCTGAAGTAAGAGCGATTGACATCTTACCATCTATCCATGATGTGAGCAAGCAATCGTTTAGTGCTCCTGCGACTTCCGCCTGACGCAGTAATAAGATTAAACTAAGCGCCAATGAGTGTCATACATTCACCTCAATGGTCCCTGCACCTAGTAGTACAGTAGTAGTCGTACTACCTAGGTGCACATCCTTTGTTCACTGGTCAGTGGGTTCTCATGCAACCCCACTATAAGGAACTCGTGCGGCTATGAATAACAACTGGCATATTAGGGGCGCTTAAATGGGCCCGTACTTAATCTAGTTGGCTGACAGTTATCCAGCCTGAATCTCAGTTCAAGTATTCGTCTTTTGACGACTCAAGTTGACCTTTTCATCTGAGATGTGCGCAATCTCAGAATTCCATAAGTACTATTAGCAGCCATCCTAAGATTTGCGACATCAACACCTATTCACCTGTGTCTGGTATCTCAGCTCAGCCTGGAGGCGGCGGCGGCTAGATTGCTTACCGAGTCGGTTTACACCAGAGTCTTCATTATTTATCGGTAGGCTACTTCGCATTCCTAGAATGTCGTCGAGCCAGGCCATTCAGAAACGTGTCTTTCTTAGCACGGCTCAGGGCTTTCTAACAGATTTTCGTTTTTAGGGATGCGACGACGACAGCAAAAGTGCTTTATTGCCTTTTGGACCCTCTGCCTCGAATATGTTCTCTGCTCAGGTCCCCGAGTGATGCCCTGGTAAAATAAGAAATTTGGACCCGACGGCCCCTGGCAAGCGGTCACAGTGCAAATTGGGAGTAACTACACCGAAATCGTTGTTCCTTGGAAGTGGCTTTGTATCCGGGAGGTAGTTGGGAAAGTAAGATCCTATTATCTTCCATTTGCGACAACAAAACATTCTCGTCCGTGTGTTATGGGGATATAGCTGGCCTCTTTGACAGCGACATATCAGCCAGCCTGGATAATACCTCGATAGAGATGCCTCCATATGGGACATGGGGTGATGTGGATTGGGGTTTCACGAACGCAGCGCCTGTTTACGCAAAAGCAAGACGAGCAACAGACTATATAACCATCAGCGGCTCACCCGTACCCGATGTCGATATGATCATAATATATTCGGGGTGGCAGACTTACCCTGGTGGGCAAGCATACCCACTGGAGGTGGGGATCTTATCCCTTGGATGCCCAGCTATTAATCAGACATTTGGAAATGTGATCAAGATCAACACAACGTTTGTCACCAGCTATTTCTATGAGCAAGAGGGATCGCTAAACATACCATCTTATTCTTACGGTATGCATATTGGCTCCGCAGCACTAGGAATTCCTGGATCGCTGCTTTTAGGGGGTTATGATCAGAATAGAGTGATGGGCGAGGTGTCCTCCCAGGCATTTTCAAGTGGAAGCTTCCCAATTGAGCTGCTCGATATAAATATCGGAATAGCAGAGGGTGGGTCTCCTTGGGCTTACACGAACAAAACAGGGCTATTGGCACAGGGTAATTCCTCCCTGGACTCTGGTCTCAGCGTCATTGTGGACCCAGCAAACCCATATATATATCTGCATCAGAGCTCATGCGATGCGATAGCCGCTGAGTTGCCTGTGACATACCACCCTGAGTACGGCCTTTACTTTTGGAACACATCTGACTCACAGTATGATACCATTGCAACTTCGCCAGGTTACCTAGGTTTCCAATTCAGCAAGGATAACCTCAACAACAACTTCATCACGATTAAAGTTCCCTTCGCTCTTCTGAATCTCACACTAGAGGCCCCGCTTGTGAAGACACCAACGCAATATTTCCCGTGCATGGCTACCAATAGCACTCCTGTTCTAGGACGTGCTTTCCTTCAGGCAGCTTTTATAGGAGTCAATTGGCTTGGTGGAAAGTGGTTTCTAGCTCAAGCACCAGGACCGGGAGGCTCCTTCATTGTTGATACCGTGTCAATAGGTGACAATGATTCCACTATTTCGGCAACAACAAACAGCTGGGAAGCCTCCTGGAAAAACACCTGGAAGGCAATACCTGCAGGTTCTACCTCGAACGCAAATACAACAAGTACATCAATGAGCGGTCCATCTACTGACGGGAATGGCTTCTCAGTGGCTGTCAAAATTGGCATAATTGTCGGCAGTACTACTGGCGGGCTGTCGATAATTGCTATTCTCTCTGGGATCTACATCCATCACCGACGACAACAAAAGAAAGCATCCATTTCAGACGAGAGTCATGCGACAGAACAAACAGATCACGGATCCTCAGCGCACCAGTTGATGCCTGTGGAGGCACCCGATAACATATGGAACCAAGTAAACGAGATACACAGCCAAGAAAGACATGAGATGGGCTCGGAAAGAGGGCCCTTCTATGAGCTAGGCCCGGAAAAGGGTGCTTTGGTTGAATTAGATCAAAGGTCCAAATCTCAGGAAGGCCCTTTTGAGCTACCAGCACAAACATCCGTCTCGTGGTCTTCTAATGTTATCTAAAAGCGCCTGATTTCCGCAATGTACATAGCTGACTGTGTTTTTGCCACAGCTGATAGATTCGAAGCAGATGATATTAGTTTACACACCCTACCATCATCATACTGATCATACTTGTATGAAAAATAACTTACAATTTCTATAGGCCTCTGATCACGATCCAGTCCAATCAGAATTCTTCAATTTTACACTTGACACTTAAGATGATGTATGTCCATATATACGACATGTAGCATATAGAACGGGTGGTACTTTATATAGTGTTGGATAAACCAAAGATGCGGTTATCTTGGTATACGTATATAGCAACACCACAACAGGCCCCGTACTATTTTATTCATTTTATCTGACTGCTATCTATCTGCTCAGCCTCGCACACTGAGTAAGAATAATGCGCATTAAATGCTCGATTTGGACCCTGACGAGTCGCGCCTGCCCAGAATAGAACACCTAAACCATGTTCGGACTAGTGGTGCTCAGGCCAAGAGGGACGGCACCCTAGCACTAACCCAAGAATGGTTAGGTCAGGGAAACACTCATGTTTCGAGTAAGGCGTCACAAGACTGCGGGAACTCTGTCCCTTCCACATCTTGGGTCCATCGCTCCATTCCGCCATCTGGGGCCATTTCATTATCTCTCTTTCACCGACGCGGCTGGGCCCGGACTGTGTCCCTCCCTTGCCATTCCACATCGAAGGCCGTGTTGTCGACCGGTTCTGATCGTCGCTCCTTTGCCTTTCTTTCCTTTTTTTCTTTTTCTCTCACTTGCTTTTCGTCCATTATCCATAGCCTCATTCCTGATTTAGCATTCCCTTCAACATCACCAACAACCTCTCTCCCCCCCCACACTCGTCCTCCGGAATCAGACAAAACAACACTTGTCCGCCTCCCAATATGAATAATTATCACGACACCGAAAGCCTCGAATACTCCTCCGACACCTCTGATGATGGCCGCTTCTCTCCCCACCCTACGGGTCGCATTAAGCGCTACACAAGACCCTTGATCGATTACGTGCGCAACGAATGGCAAACTAACGCCAAATACTCCCATCTCGCCAACCCCGACCAGCCCTCTGAACCTTCCCGATTCGTCCAACTCTTCCTGTCTATTGTCACTGCGCCGCGCTTCCGTCGCTATGTCGTGGTGTACTTGATTCTTGTCATAACGTGTCTGCTGGGATGGCTGTATATCCTCTCTCCGCGGCTAGCGGAGCATGCGTCGTTGTTGCGGGCGCTAGATCCAGAGGTGAAGGAGGAAGTGGGTGGATGGTTTGGAACGAACGCTTTTCCCGGGTTTGATGATGTTGTGCAGGTGAAAAAGTTGGATAAGGAGCTTTTGCCTGAGGGGGAGGAACGGCTGATTGTTGTGGGTGATGTGCAGGGATGCATGGCAGAGTGTATGCCCCCTTTCCACTCCCCTTGATGCAGTTCATGGTATTTGAATGCATGCATGGATCGCTGACATACAAACTTGTTGATAGTGGACCGCCTCCTCGAAGAACTCCTCTTCGATCCGACCAACGATCACCTCATCTTCACTGGAAACATGATTAGCCAGGGCCCCAACAGCACTGACGTTGTCGATTTCGCCCGAAAGTATTCCGCGTCATGTGTGCGCGGAAACAACGAAGATCGCGTCCTTGTTATGCGCCACAATATGATCGAAGCTCAGACGTTAACTGATACCTCTTCCGATCAATACCTCGATGGTCAGTCTACAGAGCAGGCCAAGAATGAACGTGATCTCGCGCGTGTCCTGTCAGACGAACAAGCAGACTGGCTAGACGCCTGCCCAGTTATTCTTAACGTGGGACAGATTCCTACCATGGGACAGGTTGCGGTCGTGCATGGGGGACTGATTCCGGGTGTGGATCTGAATCATCAGGACCCGTATAGCGTGATGAATATGTTGACCATCGATTTGGACACCCATATGCCTAGCCCTGAGCGGGATGGTATGATGTGGACTAAGGTTAGTCCCCCTTATAATTCTTCCGTACTATGTTGCTTTGAGACAATAATACTAATAACGGTATAGTTCTTCAACAAGCACCAATCCGTCGGCTATGCAAGCTCTAAAAGCTCGAACAAAGACGACGACGAAGATGCAGGTGCCGTCAAAGCCACCACCGTCATTTACGGCCACGACTCCGAAACAGCCCTCAACATCAACACCTATACAAAGGGTATTGACACCGGCTGTGTCGCCGGCGGAAAACTCACCGCGTTTGTGATTAGCTCCTCTGGAGAGCAGAATATCATCCAGGTCAGGTGTAACAACTACCTACCCTGATTGAGTGACAATTGTTGTGTTCCGTCTTGTCATGTATAGAATGTCGTTGCTGCATACTACTTTGCATAGTTTGCATCTTTCTCTCTTTATCTCTCTGCTGGTTTGAAGGGACTAGGATTGATTGATTGATTGATCGATTGGATTGGATCTGGTAGGGGTGGTGTATTGTTTCATGGTTCCTCTTCTGTTCGCTTGTTTCTGCATGTGGAGCATCGGGGTTGGAGTTACGGCTTGTTTATTGCATGGGCCGGTTGTCGAGAATATGATGGTGTGCTTGTCTATATAGGTAAGTATGTCTCTACGCGAGGTATAGTATACTACTATATCATATTCAATTCGATTCTATTTGTATTTCTATACCTGTTCGAGTCGGACTTTCTGTTGACCCGACCCGGCCCCGCATTCCGTCCGCCCTTCGATTGCACAATCTTACTTTGTTGGTTTCACAACACGGGTATGTTCTGATATGATGGATGGATAGAGCAAAGCGGGTGCATCTGTTGTCTCGTCTGCCCCGAATAGCCAGCGATAAATCCTCTTGGGCTAAAGCGGTGCTCAGAACAAATTTATCCCATATTAAAAAGCCGAGGCACCAAACTGGTACTGGAGGGGTCTGCTTTACCTACTGTACATGATACTGCTACGTACAGTAAGGGTGAATGAGAACCTGTGGGGCGGGAAGCAGTTCGGGGGAATAAACTACTGATCTACTACTACTACGTAGTTATCCTACCACTTACCTGTAAACCGTCTAGATTGACTCCTGGCTCCGTGCTAACCCTAACCCAGCTAAACTTTTCATTGACCTTCCTGCGTCAGCCTTTGAAATTAGTCTCCCTCTCGAAACCTCCAAGGATTGAAACCGGCTTATGAGATTGCGGAATTGCGACCCGATATGTCTCCCCCAGTCATCTCACTCCTCTCGAGGCCGTCGGACTCCACATGAGTGAACCTAAAGCAGGCGAGTGGGACCCAAAAGAGGCTGTCCTCTCAATACTACTGTCCTCGACGCTCGGTCTGGGCCGAAGGTCCCACTCCTCTAGTTCTCACCATCCAGGGGAGCCTTTTGAGTCCGCCGAAGTTTACATCCATTCATCATCCCAGCTGGGCAGGATTAGTGAAAGGTATCGCTGCTGCACCTGCCTCATGGTTGGTTCCTTCACCACCATGGCCCTCTTTTTTGTTATTAGCCCGCAGACGACTCCTGGTCCTCCTTCACCCACCCCCTCTAAAGATTCCAAATCCTTTTCTCTTTCTTTTCTTTCAGTATCTATCGATCCTGTCTGAGGCTCCTCCTCTCCCCCTCTAACCCGTGCTTATCTTTTTTCTTGCCAGATTGCCTTCTTCAAACGCAATGGCTGCTCAAAAGGCCGTTTTCACCGTCTCGGCTCAGGCCACCCAGTTAGGCAATCGCATTTCGGTGCATATGCTGGACTATCTCAGCACTGAGCACGACCTACCGGACGGTTTTCGTGAACTATCACAGACTTTCCTCGATACCTGTCGCGCTTTATGGGCCATTGATGCTGGTCTCACCGAATCCACTGCTGCCGGTCGCGCTCTGCCCGATGTGATCGTGGAGGAGGTGGCGAAGAAATTCATGGCCGCTTATCGCGATTTCCAGAGTCTGGACAAGGTCGTGACCAGACTCATTCAGTATGAACATCGTGGAGCCCTGGGCAGGCTTCAACGCGGATGGAATCGTCCAAGCCTCGAACTGCACCGCATTCGCGAGTCATTGAAAAAGACAACCGAAACACTTCAAATCAGCGTCCTCGCCTTTCACTGGTCTCTTGGCGAACAGCCATTCATGGAGGAATCAGTGGGCATTGGCTACGCCGGGCTGGCTGCCGCACTGGACCGTATGGCCAAAGGTCGGTCGGTCATGGGCATCAACAAGGCTAAATCTCTAGAAAAGGTATCAAAGGAGGTGGCCGCTTCGTTGTCATCCGCGTCAGTCCCCTCTGTGCCCCCCAAAGAGTCTCCAGTAAAACTCTCGGTTGCGATAGAAAACCCCCAGTCCAATGCCGATGACATACTCTCCTCCGTGCTTTCGTTCGACTCCCTCCTCATTGCAAATGACAATGGCCAGGACCATCTTTCATTGCCCCCCGTTAACTCCCGTCCTCAGCCTCTGCGACTGAATGGGAATCCTGTGCGGACGAGCTCGCGCGAGCCGCAAGCGGAAACGATCACGCCTCTCGACGATAATATATCTGGGGATACCCTCTCATATCACCGGCTATACGAGTCATCCGCTGGCCCGCTACATCGCACCCCTAGCCGAAACAGTGGAGCTAGTGCGACGCGACTACGCGGTGCGTTAGCCTCCGCCGTCCGGGGACGGAATCACAAGTTGCTAGAGCAGTTGTTGGACAGTGGAGTGTCGCCCAATCTTGGGGAGCATATCCATCCGCTCAACGAGGCCGTGCACCAGCACGATTTTCAGGGGATGCGCCTGCTTCTGCAGTTTGGTGCAAACCCAAACGAACCGGACCGGCAGGGAAAGACGCCCTTGCTTGTCGCAGTGGATGAGTCGTTTGTCGACGGGGCGAACTTGCTGCTGAAGTACGGCGCCGATTCCAACTATGTACCGGAGCCGGGACAAGACTCTCCCTTGAGTCGTGCACTGGCCAAGGGAAAGCTCAATATGGTGCAGCAGCTGCTTGCGCATGGGGGCAATGCAAATACTGAAACGCCAAGCGGTAGCACAGTGCTTGTCGAGCTTATCAAACAACAGGCGCCACCGAAGCTAATCACTCTCTTACTAGAGGCCGGCAGCGACCCAAACAAGAAGGGCTGCCAAGGGAGAACGGCACTCAACGAGGCGGTGCAGACCGAGCAGATTGCCGTCGTAACGACACTGCTCGAACACGGGGCCAATCCGAATCTCCCTGGACCCGAGCATGTTCTATGGCTAGCTATCTCCCGGCCAGCATGTTTGCGTCTTCTATTAAACAGCGGGGCTGACATCAAAAAGACCCCAGGTCTCATGGAACAGGCGACCAGCATGAACAATATCGAAGCCGTTCGCACCCTGCTGGAGGTCGGGCTTGATCCAAATGCCAAGAAGGACGGTACCTACACGCCCCTCTGCTCTGCCATTCGTGACAATCGGGCCGACATCTTGACACTGCTGCTGGAGCACGGTGCGGACCCAAACGTCATGGCATCCGAGTATCCCGCTTGGAAATGTATCACCCACAACCGACTCCATTTTCTACCTGTCTTGATCGCGGCTGGTGCTGATCTTTTTCAACCACCTGGAATCGTAGAGCTGGCCGTGCAAGTCAACAACACTGCGGCCTTGGAGTGGCTGGTTGAGCAGGGAGGTGCAAACGTGAATGACCGCAACGCACAAGGTCATACTGCATTGACAACTGCCATCCGCGAGAACCGGCCGGAAATGCTAAGCTACCTGCTCGCACATGGCGCCAACCCCGCTCAACGTGGGCAGGATTGGCCTGTATGCATGGCCGTGCGGTCTCCAGCTCTGCTTCAGAAACTGCTTCCGCTGGTCCCTGATCTCTCTGCTTACAAGGGCGTCATGGAGATAGCCGTGCTTGCCAACCAGCTTGAGAGCATCAAACTGCTGCTCGCTGCCGGTACCAGTGTCGAGTATAAAAACGGTGGCGTCTTCTCCCCACTCACTACAGCCTTGCGAGAGCGACATGACGATATTGTGAGGTTCCTGCTGGAGGAAGGAGGCGCCGATCCAAACGCCCCCGGCGAGCATCTCCCTCTCGTGAAAGCGATCCGCCGGACCCTCAATGGTAACTTTTCCATGATTGAGCTTCTGCTTGGGAAGGGTGCCGACCCCAATAAAACTTACCGGCACTGGAATGCTATCATGCAGGCGATTGAGTATCGGGATCTGCCATTGTTGCATCTGCTAGTTAAGAAGGGAGGCGGAGCTGATCTCACGCAGCACGATGAGACAGGACAGACTGTTTTAGAAATGGTGGATTCCGGATGGCCCGAGGCCATGCAGTTCCTTCTTGACAATGCGCGCCCCTAGTTTGTAGTCTTTTTCTGACGCTTGGGAGTTATAGGATCCTAACATAGGCTTAATGTCATATCATAATACGTAATAATATTAATATTGTCACACGAGGATACATTCCAATCAATAAGCTCACTTGTTCCTGGTCTAGGTCGGGATCAGCATCTAGTTCGGTCAAAAAGAGATGAATAAAAGTAAAAGTAAAAATAAAAAAAAGGCACCCACAGGAAGACATGCTAAATCAAGGTTACAGAAAGATAAGGAAGCAATGAAAGCAGCAGTGAGGAGACACACTTATACAGTTTTAAGGATTCAATTTAACGCAATTCATAATCTTATACCTGATAGAATATGCCTAGAGACCCGGAACTTTTCCTCACAGTTGCGGTACTAGTTACTCTCCCACATCGTATTGACCAGAGAAAGTGGGGCCAGGCCAATCCTCTGTATAGTATATTTATACATATAGACTATATACTAATGTTGACGCAACTGCTGGAGTTCACGTGCCGGCGGTTACCCCGCCCACAAACGACCTCTTGCTTTGTTCTGCTAGAGCACCTAGATAGCTACTAATTCAACGCATCCTTTGCTACGATTCGCGTTCGTTCGCTTGCTTTCCGTTGTTTCGTTGCTTTGCTAGTAATATCGCGCCTCAACAGGTTATGAGCCCGGGCTCCCTCCCGTGAAGCTATTCAGACCCCCATATCACGGATCTTGACCCCAAACGAAGCGGAGAGCCTACGGCTCCTACAGGTGGTAGGGGTGAACGGGGACGCGCTGGTCTTGGAGGATCACCTCGATCCGATTTAAGCATCCAATTCGAACACCTTACTACGTCAAGAGACGCTCTATTTAACACATTCGTCGGATCTACCCGTGCCAAGCACACTAATTTGGCGCCATGGCATACGCGGTGGGACGAAGCATTCTATTCGAGGGGATTTCCCTGACCCAGGTGAACCCTACGGAAGCAGTAACTCAAGCAGACCGACTGCCAACGACCCCTCCGAAAGGCCTATCCGGGTTGCCGATTAAGAAACTAATCAGAGGCATGCGTTCCGATTACTCTAGCGCACGTCAATATATTGACGATTTCATGGAGGCGTACGACGTGGCCGTAAAGCTTGACTGCTCGATCTCCCCGCTCGTGGCAAGCCTCCTGATGATGTACGAACTGCAGTCAGAATTCCCTACGTGGGCGTCGACTGTGGAACACTCGATGCCAGGAAACGCAGGTCAAACCTATGCAGAAGAGCAATTCCGCGATCTATGTAGGAGCGCCCTAGAGGAGTGCAAAAGATCCGAAATAAGGGAGTTCGGTGCTGCCGCTGTCGGTAAGGGCAAGGGCCAGAATCCGTCCAACAAGCCCGATGCTACCAAAGATCAGTGGAAGGCAGCTACTTTCCCGAAAAAAGGTGTTTCTGCCAAAGACCACGCTGCAAAGATGCGGAAGAAGTCAGTAAACGCTGACGGCAGCTGCGGATATTGCAGGTCAAAGGGTCACAAACCACCAAAGTGTTGGTATATTGACCCTGAATCGCGCCCATTGGGTTGGATCCCATACATCTTAGACATCTGGTTCTACCGGGGAAGCAATAACGGATGTAGCAAGAGGTCAGAGTCGAATTCGAAAGATGACTCCAAAGCAGCGGCACCCGCACCTGCAAGGCAGATAGCAGAGGTGCCTTCTCAACACGTTACCCTGCCTGAAACAGAGTCAGATAACAAAGATTTACATATTTTGAATTCTTCTGGGCTGACTGTTGGAAGCACCACTGACCGCTCCCTACACTGGATCTGTGAATGATGGTGGTCACATGACCCAAGGCCACCTCTTCATCTCTCCTCTGGCGACACGTCTCTTCCTGTTGGCCACGTATCTCAGAGCCACTGATCCTGCCCGTAGCCAACAGTTTCAATACGCTGCGCCACAGGCACTAGACACTTTCCATCTTGTAAGAAATATCTACACCTTGTATGAACCCGTATGTTACAGATTAACAAGACAGGTACACACTTATTGATTGACCGGGCTAGATGTTGCAAAATAATAAGATGTGCCACTCTCAAGCGAATTACGAGCGTCTGGTAATGTGGCCGCCCCTCTACATTTTACTCTATTTCAATGATAGCTACGGAATAGGTTGTTTAAGTAAGTTGCATCTGACCGACTAGAACCGGTCAGACACTGGTTATCAATCTTGCCCATGTTCAGCTTTCTACATCATATACTAAAAGGATCTATGTATGGGCTTGAAGGAGATACAGCAGATATACATTAGAATCTGTGTTAATAGATTAATGATAGTTACCCTTTCAGCTGAACCGCCGGGTGTTAATCTATTGTATGTATAACAAGCGCGCAAATATCTGTCTCTCCTAGTCAGAAGAGAGTAAATCCCATTTTGCCCGGGCAATCAACAAAAGCCGCAGTGCATCGTGTTCGGACATGTTTACCCGGGTATCTGAAATGATTTACTATCTACACGTCATTCTCAATCCTTCTATTGACCATAAAAATCAGAATTGGCTGGGCTTTCTGCCCTAGCGCGATGGATGCTAAGAGAAGGAAGAATAGACATATTAAAGTAGCATTAACCAGTATCAATAATCCAGATAATCCAGAATAGAGACATACCTGTGTTTTGAGCAGGACGGACCCAACCCAATTCTTCAAAATTGACTATTCCTGTAGGAATGCAAAGTACCTTGTGACTATTTATCTTAGACCTTGGGAGAAATTATGATCTACCACGGACCCAGAGCGCTGCTCCTAGAAATTAGTTTATATACTCCTGCGAGCCACTGATCATGGTCCGTGGAGCTGGTGATCCATGGAGGAATTCTTCTAGTGCAGTGAGGTGATAGCGGTGCACCGGGCGGCGCTGTATATATTAGAGAACATCCTGCTGGGAGGGAGCCGGTAGGGCCTACTATCTAATTAGAGCGCGTTCCACCTCCATCCCCAATGCCAACATTAATGTTACCTTAGCAGACCGTGCGGCCTTCTCGCAATATTAGTATCTTGTAATTTTAATCGCTGTTACTATTTCTAGCGCGCCTTATTGTCAGGCTTTACAATCTTTGAAGCACAAACATGGCATCTTCTATATCACTGAAAGAAGTCATCGACAAGAAAAGTTTCTAATTACTTAGTAACGAACATCTGGTTGATCTCGTGTATCATCAGTTTAAGTCAGTAATCGAGAGACTCAGATATGTCGAATAAAATATCGAGGGAGACGATGCGCGTCCTATTGGATTACTGGCTCGGGCAGGCATTGAGGGAAAACGCAATGAAAATAATCATAATCTTACCCCCTCCCGATATCTTTTCGACGAAGACTACTCAGATGGAACCGAACCTTGACTAGTATTCTTGCAGTGCGATGGCTGCTCCACAAAGATTATTATATTTTTACTTGCCATTAAAAGGGGCCTGTAAAGTTAAAAATTGAGACTTTCAATGAATTTGGTAAATTGACGAATTGGATCCAAGATGAGCCGGACTGGCTAATGGTCTTGATTATGGCTCTGGTCCTAGGTGATGTAGGTAAAGATCATGGGCTAGTAAAAGAGGTGCGAGCCTAACTCCAAACCGTATCAGACAAGGAAATAAACCATGATACAGTCCTCAAGAAGGCTCTTAATTTAAACATCTTTGACTCTCCGTTGGATCTGCTGCCGATTGCGCGACGAGATAATGTAATTTGAGGAGTGAAACTGGGAGCTAAACTTAATATCCCGTAGCTAGCTTAAGATATGAATCTTCCAGAAAGCCTGCAATGTCTTCAAGAACTTCAAGGCCAGGAAACTATCTTTGAGTTAAAGTATCTTGAGATCATGTTCAATGTGGCTGATGCAGGAACGCATGTTGATACCTGCGGTTCAGTCTGGATAATTAAGCCTGTATATCAATCATATCTACTTATTTATAAAAGCCTGCAACGAGTCATATTAAACAAGATTAATATTCAGGAAGCCTACAACGAAGTCTTGGAAAACCGAGGCCGTATTCTATCTAATAAGGGTTCTCTGAAATTATCCATGGATAACAAACAAGAGCGGGCTCTTTTATGCCTATATGCAATGGGCAGGATAACAGATATTGACTTGGCAGAGCACTTCCGCAAGGCCCTCCTCAGCCTTCCTGATAATCATAGAGCTGAACTTATTGACAAGCTTAATAAAAGTAGATTAGCATATGAGCAAGCTGTGATTCTCTATTACATGCCCGCGCTGTTTGCAGAACTACTCCGGCACAACAAGCAGGCTTCTGAGAAAACGCAAATAAAAACACGTCATTTGTGAAAGAAGATCACGTGATCTCAGACCTAGCCACCTAGTCATCTCCTCGCGTAGTTAGCTAGCTAGCCTACACACACAATATCATCCATATCGCTCTCACAGGTTATGAGCCCTCGTGGCAACAAATCATCAAATATTCGTCTTCCCTATCATTTTTCATCGTTTTTACGCGTTGTCCATCAAATAGCGTCCTCTTCAAGGCTTTTTACGCCTCAAATCGCTACTATACGCGGTTTCGCGGGTAGGAAAGCCTCCACGGCGATCTAGCCGGCTTGGCAACCAGGCTTAGCACCTACCAACCAACCAGACCTCCCACCACGCGAGCAGCGTGGCTGAACACTTACAATGACGCCGTCCAAAGACCCGTTCGATATCAACATATCTAAAGCTGTTCCTAAGCTTAAAGGCCAGGCTAACTGGTTAACATGGCAAAGGAACCTACGAAACTACCTACACTCATGAAATCCGGACACATGGGACCTGCTTCAGGGCAAATATACTCTTCCAGAAGAACCAGTTCTTTATCCCGAGGATGAAGATGAAAACATACGTATACTGGCTGTTCATGCTGGTGATAGTAGTACTCTACCCACTCAACAAGAACTGCAACACAGCATTAAGCAGACCATATAATACAACCGCACTTTGCTCACCACATATAACTCTAACTGTAAGAAGTGGAAGCAGTTGAATTATTCTATACTTGTAGTTCTCAGTACTATATACAAAGCCAGTCCCGCGGCGCATTTCCAGAACTGTAACTCCACGCTTAAAGCATATGTCCTTCTCCAGGAAGCATATAAGACCTCCAACTTTACTACAGTTGTTCATTTATATAATAAATGGGTATCTATTTATTACAACAGCACAAGCAGTCAAGAGACCTTTCTTACACACTACGCGGACGCCCTCAACGAGCTTCACGGCACTAAGATCATTGATGATCATACTGAACTCCTGCAGTTCTTTACAGTAATTCAGGACGTGCCTGCCTTGCAGCCGTTCATTATAAATCAGTATATAACACTGACAGAAGACACAATTCCATTATCTGTATATGCTCAATTCACACAGTTTAAGTATACACGCAAGAATCAGTTCTCCCAGCTAACTACACATGCGGTTGGTGACAAGCCTCAGGGCAACAACAACAATACCAATAATAACACCCGAGGCAGCGATCGCGGCGGTCACGGCCGCGGACGCGGGCGTGGCCGTGGACATGATAAAGGTTAAATAAATATCTCTATACAGTATAAAAGAGAGCAACTTGATGCCGCTGACAAGAATACTATATGATATATCTTCCATAAATATTACAGAAATCACTTTCCCAGCAAGTGCTTATTGAACCTGAACAAGAAAATGACTACAAGCACTCAGGTTAATACAGTAACTACATCTACTCCATCCGCATCACTGTCCGTACCACCGTCTGTACCACCGTCCGGAGCACCATCAGCCAACACAATCAACATTAATTTTGACTCTCTTAATGCCTACACTGTATCAGTTCGCTTCAATGCTGCTACCGTGGCTCAAGAAGATCAACATCCCAACCACTCGCATGATTGGATACTCGATTCTGGGACTGTTGAAACAATGACTTATTCTAAATATTACTTCACGTCCTTTACTCCCTGCGTACACACAGCCAAAACTGCTACTGACAAGGCCTTTCAGACTGTTGGCTACGGCACTGTTTTGATTGAATTGGCAGATGAGCAGAACAGACCTTGTGGACTTTTGGAGATTGACCGCGCTTGGTACATGCCGGCGCTCTCACATAATCTTATTTTGTGTAAGCAGCTGGCACGCCAGGGTGTCTATATACATATCAAGACCAAAGAGACCACTGTTCTTATTCAACACGGCAAGCAGATTGGCTTCACTACTGCTAAAGATGCTTAATACTTCCTACATACAACCGGTACCACAAACCGCAGGGCGATTCAGGGCCTGTATCTCTGCGGTGCCCTGACACACTTGCCACCCTCTAACCTCACTGTTAATACTGTCAAAAAGACGGTTCCTCCACCAATTTCAATCTATCTCACGCATCGTCGTACGGCTCATGCCTCTGAACGAAAGATTCGAGACTCTGTTAAGCATATTATTGGTTTTAATATTAAGAAAGGCACCTTACCAGTGCCCTGCGAGCCCTGCCTCCGTGGAAAAAATCAAGCACTACCTGTCTCCCATACTGAGCCCCGCGACCTTGGTCTATGCGTTGGAGATCTTATTCATACAGATATCTATAGACCACTATCTACACGCGGCCAGACCGGCGCATATTACTTCGTCACTTTTACTGACCATGTCTCCTAATACTGCTGGGTGTTCCTGCTCAAGGAACACAGTGAAGTATGTGACAAGTTTATTACTTTACAGAACTACCTCAAACGCCAGTTAAATATCAGTATTAAACATGTTCATGGCAATAACGCGCCTGAATACCAACTGCTTGCGTCCTACTATCAAGAACAAGGTATTGTCTGGGATCCTGCTCCGCGCTACCACTTGAATCTTAATCCAATTGCCGAGATTAAGAACCATTATCTAGTCAAACCCTGTATATCAGTCATGGCGGATAATCAGTTACCCTGTTTCCTGTGGGATCATATCATTCTCGCAGTTAACTATATACAGAATAGACTTATACACAGTGCCATCGGGAAGACTTCCTATAAAGTCCTGTACAGCGTGCAACCAGATATCTCGTGATGGAAGGCCCTTGGCTGCTGCTACTAGTATCTTACTCCTAAAAAGACTCGTGATAAACTGGAAGATCACATAACGTAACTCCCGGCCGCGCCGGCCACCCGCCCGCACCGGCCACCCACCTACAACACACCCACCTACTACACATCCACCTACTACACACCCAACGCAAGTAAGAATGAAGCTATTCAAACAATATTATTATTAGCAAAGCGTACATATTATTACTTATTACGGAGGTTTGAACACTGATTTCTTCTGTGGCTAATTATATAGCACTCACTGCAGCAGGAAGGTGCCTGAGCAGGTGATTGAAATACTGCCTTCTCTGCCTGGATCTTCTCTAGCTGTTATAATTTAACTCTTGCTTCCTGGATCAAGATGCCTTCTTTAAAGATTATCTACTGCTTTGATTGCTTCTTCTTTTAGAATTACTTTTCATATGCAGTGTATAGATCCCGGTTCTCCTTTGCTAGAATTACTGTACTACCCATTGCTAACTCATAGCCTTTGATAACTTGATTTATGAGTGCTTTTATAGATGAAGATAGATCTCCAGTATGTCTGTTAAGAATCTCTGTAAACGCGGATTCATGCTTTTGAAGTTGCCGTAGATTATGGGGGGTCTGGAATACTGAATCAGTTATCTGACTGGTTAAAGTAATTAGTATTTGTAGTTGAATTCCCAGTCTTTCAAGAACTTGGTCAGGATCTAGGGGAACAAGACTGGTAGCTCTAAAACCACTGATTATATTGTACTTACTTAGAGCATCAGATCATGCCTGGGGATAGTATTCGAGGAAGTCCAGCTTATTAATATGATTAAATCCGAGATGTATCTTATTCTTAACTAGGCGGCTGTACGCGTGTTTAAGGGGATTAAAACAGCTGATATCAAGAAGTTAAAGCAGGTGAGATAAATACAGAGATATACAGATAAGTATAATATTATTCTATATATAAAGATTATTAAATTCAGAAGTTAGATAACTTCTATGGCTGTCTAAAACAAGTAATTGAGATTGACTAGCAGAGTATACAATCAACGGAATAAAATATTTTTCAAATTATTATAAACTAATAAGATCAGTGGTCCAACTGTTATCACTGACTTCAATTTTCTAATCTGCGGGTAGATTAGTATTTTGGAATCATGCTTACAGGTGTACCTTGCCTTTAAAGATTAAGATTGAAAGTAAAGCTAATCCAGAGGCTTGAATATATTTAATTAAGGTTATCCATTCCTGATTTCCTAATTATATGAGTAATGGCTTGCTTTTGATCTCATGTCTGGTAATAACTTGCAGAGTTTTAATAATATCTATTATAAATCCTGTTTCATCAAAATTATAGATATTATCTAGTTAGATCCTGTGTTAGAGAATTATTATTCAGATAAGATTAAATTATTCTTGTATTATCTTAGGATCCTCGTACTTGGCCTGTTGATAATTATAGTATTTTATAAATCTCTACTTTAGTTAATTATGTTATTTAACAAAGCAAGAGACCTAATTTCAATTAATATTTTAGGGGTTGGAACTACCTCTTTTAGAGAGTAGAATATTAGCTATATCTTGTACTTGAGAGAGTCGGGGAGGTACTCCATGTTAATCTAATAATAAGATCTATTGTATAAGGTATTCTTCTTTATTAGAAGTTAATTTCTGAGTACTATTAGGAGTCTCTTGAACAAATAGAATGCCGTGTAGTTAATCTTGTAGAGTAGAGCATGGGATAGTAAAGAAGTATGCAGTACCACAAATACTGTTAATTTGATATTTCTTTAGAGTTTTAATAGTAAGTAGAATCCTGCCCTCCTGCTCCGCTGCATCTTTTAATGCTTTAGACTGTATTAGTGGCATGGTTAATGGTTAAATAGCTTTAAGTAGAGAGGAGGGGGGGGGGGAGGGGGGAGGAGGAAGGATGTTTGTATGTAGGTTCAAACGCGTTGGGTGTGTAGTAGGTGGGTGGCCGGTGCGGGCGGGTGGCCGGCGCGGCCGGGAGTTACGTTACAGGAAGGCTGCTTTGTCAGCTACTCTGAGTTAGTCTATAAGATCTACAATATCCGAAGTCATCAGATTATATATACTCATGATATTATCTTTAACAAAGAACCTGTCTCACAGTTACCGTCAGCAATGTCTATATATAATCTTGATTCCGCACGCCACGGCGAAGCTAATGCAGAAGCTCCGGTCCAGGAAGATTCTTGTTGCTGGTCACTGTTTGATATATCTTCTTAACATCAGCAGCCTGTCCCTGTGTCTTTTCCTAGTTATCCTACCGCAGACGAGCAGGACAGCAGCGAGGAGCCGGACTGGCTACTAGAATATAAACGGACTGGTGTACTCCCATCTTTGCCTCCAATCAATGACACTGTCTGTAATGCCACGCCTGAACTGGTAGTTGTCATCGAAGATAACGAGTCTGATAACCAGCTTGTTGTTGCGGATCCTCCGGCTACCAGTACCTCTCGTGCGGAATCTGTTGCTTCCAGTATAGAATCTGCACCGGTGTCTGAACAGCCACTATATTGTTCTACACGCACTCGCAAGCCCTCGCGCGCGCTCCTCGAGTCCCTGGAGTCACATACTATTAGTGTAAACAATGACCCGGACTTGAATACCGATGCTTTTTACAAATTATTTATTGATAACCATCTTGCTGACACTCTGTTCTTGGAAGCTGCGGTTACGCAGCCTCCCGCCAGCCCGCAGGCTAGAGGGACCATCTTCATCAGGAAAACAATATCTCAAGATGCCGGCTACACCCCTATCTCGTACGCTGATGCTATGGCATGCGCTGAAGCATCTAAATGGCGTGAAGCAGTGTATTGTGAGATGCGGGAACAGATTAAACAAGGTACCTTCCGCGTGGTTCCATGTCCCTGCAATACGCGTCTTCTTCCGCTCAAATGGATGTTTAAAATTAAGCATGACGGCACCTACAAGGCTTGCCCTGTTGTCAAAGGCTTCTGGCAGCGTGCTGGCAAGGACTATCAGATTGGAGAAATATATGCAGCTGTTGCTAAGAGTGTCAGCTTCAAGACTTTTATTATCCTGGCTGCTAAGCTTCATTGGATCCTACATCATCTTGATGTTGTCACAGCATTTCTTAACGCTGAACTACGCGAATCAATATACATCGAGTTGCCGGACGGTTTCCAGGAAAACAGCATGTGCGGCGAACTCCTTAAGTTGTTATATGGCTTGAAACAGGCGCCACGTGAGTAGTATAATATGCTTCATGACTTTCTAGTGGCTAACAGCTTTAAGTGCTTACATGCAGATCACTCCGTGTTTACGGGAAAGGGCCTTTTCATACTCATCTACATTGATGATATCCTCCTACTCGCGCCGGACGGCACTGTGGTTGATGTTTTTAAAACACTACTTGCTCAGCTCGTCAAGTTTACTGATAACGGCTCCTGCACCTGCTTCCTAGATATTGATATTATATAAATAGATGAAGGCATTTATCTCTCGCAGAAATTATATATACAAGACTGTCTAAAGTGCTTTGGTCTCTCTACCTGCAAGGCCTCCCCTATATTATATAACTCTAAGAATTCTTTGTTAAAGTACAACGGAACAGCGGACCCTGATAATATTAAAGTATATTAGGAATGTAATGGCGCGCTTATCTGGATCATGGTTAATACATGTCCTGATATTGTGTACGCAACAAGCAAGTTATTGTTCTTTGCCAGCAACCCTGCCAAACCATATCTTCAGGCAATGAACCTTGTCTGGTGTTATCTTGCTGGCTTCCTCGACCGCTGCCCCTTCTACCGTCGTGACGGGCCTGGCCTTGTTGGCTTTTGTGATGCTGATTGGGCCGGCCCCCACTCCCTTAATGCGACGTCGACCTCCAGCTACGTATTCCAACTCGCTGGGGGGCCCATTTCATGGAGTTCAAAGAAACAGACTGCTATTGCACTATCTTCAACCAAAAGCAAGTATATTGCGCAAGCGGTGGCAACACAGGAGTTAATCTGGCTCCAACTACTATTCACTAAACTGGATATTCAACGCCTCAAAGCTATATCTGTTTTAATAAGTCGTCCTACTGTAATTCATGCAGACAACCAGTCCACTATCACTCTGACTAAGAACCCCGAGTTCCATGCCCGCACGAAGCACGTCTCCATCAAATAACACTTCATACATTGTGAAGTACGCGCTAAAAATGTTGAATTCGTCTACATTAGTACGACCGAACAAGCGGCCGACGGCCTCACTAAGCCGCTCGAACGTCTCGCCTACTCCCGCTTTATCAAGCAACTCGGTATGGTGGATCGTGTTTGATATCTCATCTAATATTTCTGTATCTACATGTCTTTTACTCCCTGTCTAAGAAACGTGAACAACCTCACGTTTTCCTTTTTGTACATAACGTTGCTGACTACGTCCTCGCTCATGGGGGTATGAAAGGAGATCACGTGATCTCGGACCTAGCCACCTAGTCATCTCCTCGCGTAGTTAGCTAGCTAGCCTACACACACAATATCAGCCATATTGCTCTCACATCATTAATGGGCTTTAT